TCAATAGTGGGTGGTTTCTCATTTCACATTTCAAATCAAGTGCACCTAATTATTTTATTCTTGTCTGATGATTATTTGTCTCTGTGTTGTTCTGCAGAATATCAGTGAATAAATAAATGAGTTAATAATCTTACCCCATTAATGGTCACCCAGGGCACGTACTCATGTGGAGGTTTCAAGGCTTTGGTCTTCAAGGCATTCTGATGCATGAGCTGGTTTCCAGTGTCTCCATTCACACAACTCATTAACTTGTCAGTGGTCAACTCAGGGGCATATACCTTCAAACACTATCATTGACAAATGAACAAAAATAAAGAGATCAGCACAGTAAAGCATACACTCGATTAATTTGAAAGTCAGTGAAAATGTACACAGACACACACACACACACACACAAGCCAAAACACAAAGCATCCTTACGCTGTCGACTGATCCGAGGACATCAGAGGAGGATTCCATACAGAAGATGATTGGGAAAGCCATGTCCGTCATGTTGAGCAGACAGGTCTGAAGAGTACAGGGAGACTGAATAATTCACAAGCTTGTAGTGAAAACTACAATAAAACTCCCATTGTGTCTAAATAAAAGCTGACACTTTCATTTACTTCTAGTATTAAGGATTTATTATTTCTTTCAGTCTTGTTGTTAGCATGTCCTGTTCATGTCAAATCTGTCATATTTTTATGAAAACTCGAAAGGCTTCGAAAGAACTGGAAACATTTAACACTCCACAAGAAGACTGGTCAGTTCAGAAAGACACTCCCAGCTTGAAAACACCCACTGGTGCCAGTGTTTTACAACAGAAGGATCAGTCTATCAAAAATAATCTGATGGTAACAAATGTTTGCCATCAACCCTCTGGGTTTGATGGATGCACAGTCCAGTTCAAATCACATCACCAGTTTCAGTTGCTGTAGTGGGATAGATAGCCTCTCTGAGGCCACATTTTAATCTGTGTCAAAATTAAAGACTCCAAACCAAACACCAGTGAGGTGAGAGGTAAAGTAAACCAAACTTAAGATAAATAATTCACGCCACAGCAGAAGAGACAGAAGAGGGAAGCTCAAAGGTAGAGATGATGGAAAAAACAGGTTGTGATGACAGAATGATGACTTTGTGGACAAAGTGGGCACATTGTTTGTTTTAGAGGGAAGAGGAAGGCTCTGGAGGACATGGAGCGGCCCACCTGGTCCCGATCCCCACTGGCTGGGCCAACAAAACCCAAGCATCAGTTATGAGCTCTGGATAGATCTGTCATTTCTAACCCTAGCCCAGAGCCCGGCCTGGCCCTAATCCAGGTCGGGCCAGGCCATAATAATGTGCAGACCAGGCTTTTGATTGCATCAGTGGACACGCGTGGCTGACAATCCAATTATATGGCAATATGGCTTGCCATACTTCACCAGCCACAGGCAAACATTTGACCACAAGCTGACTGACCTTGAAAGAGGTAAAAAGTTCCGTTAAGCTTCAGATGAGTCTATACAGCAAGGAAGTGATCCATCAGCCCAAATGGACGTTCAGACGCTGCACTCAGCGGACGCACACGGCCAATGACCCAAACAGGTGAGATCCCAAAGCAAACATGTCAGAGCAGGGTCCATGTCTGAATAATGCAGAAGCAGTGATTTAATGTGCTTTGACGGCCGTGAAAAGACAAACACCCCTTCAGCTCCGATCTTCTGCCCCTTAGCCGTGAGCGTCCGCCGACCCTTAATAACTATAAGCAGTCAAAGTTTAATTAAAAATGTCTGGGGGGGGGTTTCAGCTTCGGACCTGTAATTACTGTTAATTTGTCGAGTCCGGTGGGGTTCAGAAATTATGACTACAAGCTGAGGCCGGTCAGGTCGGATTCTTTCCAGCCCAAATGCAACTCTAGCTCTGGAGAGCTGAGGAGGATGCTGTCCTAAAAAAACCCTAACCCTAAACTGAAGTTGTTGCTGCTGCTTCTCATTCCAACGCACTTCTAATATGACGATGATTTTACAAAAAACGTGGAGCGTTAATTATTTATCATATCTCTGGTTTTACATGGACTATCAACGCAATTTAAAAATTGATCTATCATTTAAAGTCTGCACTTTTGATACAAATTAAAATTACCTAGTATCTTACCCACACAATTTTCTGTTGTCTCACAACACTAGATGTGTGTCTGTCCAGGTCTGAGCCTTCAGGTATCTCAGTTCCTGTGCACGGTGGATCTAACTGAACAGCTGGCACAGCATCTGTCATCAGCCTGGTAGTACTTTCTTTTAAATCCAAGCATCCTCAGATCCAAAGTGTTTGCTACACATAACACTGTTCAGAAACAGTGCCATGAAGTCTGCCTGATGGACTTCAACAAAACTGACCCGTTTCTTGTGAAATGATCTTCAGGATGGAATGGATGCCAAGTCCCCCCTTGGCCATGTTACTACAGAACTGTGCAACATCCATTTGGTATGTTGTTCCTGCCACCAATATTCTTGACAGAAATTTGAAGGCAACAATGGACTGTAACCTTAAGCTACTGAAATCTGGCGATCACATGCTGGGATCTCCTGACATCACGTCACACCCTATATGTGGAAGTGAAGGGCTGTTTCCAAATTTTTAAAATCAGTTTGAGTTATTTTTCAATGTTTGCCACTAAACGTAAATATTTATTTGTTGTCTCATATTTTGCTGCATATGTAATATTAAAAATGGTGGGTGTTAAGACTTCAGGCTCAAGAACACTTGGGTTCTGCCACAGCATGGAGCCAGGTGAAAGACTCGGGGCCAACACTTGAGAGTTGCTGCAGGAACTAACATTACAGAAGACTCACCACAGGAAGAACTACAGACTCTGGAGGAGCAAGTAGTGAATTTTTTACAAAACAAAGACATTGACATCGAACATGAGGACATTTCAATCTGTCACACACTGCCCAACAAATCTGATAAAGTCAAACCATCCATAGTCATCAAGTTCGTTAGCAGGAAATCAAGAAACAAGGTAATAATGCAAGCAAAAAAACTGAAGGGAACAAATGTTTACATAAACGAACACCTAACTATAAAAAATGGAAATATTGCACGTGAAGCAAGGTTGTTAAAAAAACAGAAAAAAATAGCATCAACTTGAACAAGAAACGGAAACATCTGGATCAAAATACAGGAAGGATCTCAGGCTAAAATAATAATAAAAGACCTGAAGGATCTCGAAAAACTAAAATGAGCTCAGGAGAGGACAGATGATAAATCATTGACATAACTTCACTAACAAAATATAAAAATGAACAAATACATTAAAACATGGCAACATACAAAGACTTAAGAGTTTAAAATATACAATGTTGAAGATGCGATTGATACAATTTTTTTCCCTGAAATAAAAGACTGTGAATATTACAATGAAGAACAGTTTAATGACATCAATATAACAAATGGAGGTCTCTCTATTATTCACTTTAACAGTAGAAGTTTAAATGCAAATATATCCAAAATAACAGATTATTTAAAACAGCTAAACAGAACTTTTACAATAATAGCACTGTCAGAGACGTGGCTCAACGATGAAAACACAACTAATGCTCACATGGAAGGGTATGAATTATATCATGTGAACAGAAGCAACAAAAGAGGTGGTGGAGTCGCTCTATTTGTTAAAAATGAAATAAAATGTAAGTTAATTAATGAAATGTCAATAATTGTTGATAATATCATGGAAATAATAACAATAGAAATAATAAACAAGAATGATAAAAACATATTAATAAGTTGTGTATATCGATCTCCAGGATCAAATATAGAAATATTCACTGATAAAATCGTACATCTATTGGACAAGAGTTTTAATAAAAGCATTTTTTTCTGTGGAGATTTTAATATTGACCTGGGAAATAAAAAAACAGATTCAAATAACATCAGTACATTTACAAATTCATTGTATAGTTTAAATCTTTATCCGTTAATAAATATCAAAACCAACAAGAATTGTTGGTTTACATTGTTTTTGTATCAGAATTAGAAAAATTTGAAAGTTATTCATTTTGTTCTGTTACTTGAAAATTATTATGATTGAACTAATTGTTTGAAAAAAGGGGCAGATATAAGATTTTTTCTTCTTCTGCTGCCTTTCATTTTTAATCTCTTGTATTTGTTTTATATTGTTATGGAATTGTTTTTTGTTTTTTTAAATGAATAAACTTTATACCATACTATACTCAAAGTGCTTTACACTACAATCTGTGTCCTCATTTACCCATTCATAGGGCACTCTACTAGATCTCTACAAAGCTAATCTGAGTATAATTTAAAAACTGCATTTTGTATTTACTCAGGTTATCTTTGTCTAATATGAACATTTGTTTGATGATCTGAAATGTGTCAATGTGTCAAGTAGAAACTTGTCAGGGTGCAAATATTGTTCCATAGTACTGTACCTCAGATGTAACCACATCATGTTTCTAGATGCATTTTTCCCTTTTTCTACCTACTTCCAATTGATATTGATGGCTGACTTTTATAATTTAATTTTAAATCTGTCAGACAAATAAATAAATAAACATGCATGAGCGCTCGGGACCATCTACATGATTTTCTAGAGGACATAAAGTATTAGATATAAAACAAAGTAAAAGGCACAGCTCCAGTTTATAATGTCAGTATTTGACTGTTGCGGCACTGTGTGTGTTCAGTGTGACTTTACCTCAATCATGTTGCCCAAACACTCCTGCTCCCCATGCTGGCACATGTATGTATACTTCTGTCCATCAGGTTTTTCCTGCAGTCGTGGAAGACAACAGTTTAGGAAATATTTCAATTACTTTCTTGTTTCCAGTTAAAGGCAAACTAAAATTAACAGTTTCCCCTACCATTATACAAGCAGGGTGCCCTGCCTTGTCAGAAGAGCCGAGCACACTGCCTACAGCGACAATTACCGGCACTGATGTAACGCTAAACTAGTGGCGCCCAGTACAGATGCGCTAGCTAAAAAGCTACAGAGTTAGAACTCTATTTCCCTCACGCTGACCATCTTGGCTTCTGAGAGACACTGACACTCTGAGAAGCTCTTTTTATACCCAATCATGTTGTCAATTGACCTAATTAGTGTTAATTGGTCTTCCAGCTGTTCGTTATATGCTCAATTTCCTTTTTCCAGCCACTTATTGCTACTTGTCCCAACTTTTTTGGGATTTGTTGACACTGTGAAATTTTGAATCAACATATTTTTCCTTTAAAATGTTACATTTACTCAGATTAAACTTTTGATCTGTCATCTATGTTATATTACGAATAAAATATTGACATTTGCCAATCTCCACATCGTTGCATTCAGTTTTTATTCACAATTTGTTTAGTGTCCCAACTTTTTTGGAATCCAGTTTGTAATAGATAAAACTAAAAGCAGCAGAACAGTAGCTAAAACTTGCAAAAGAAAAGATAAATATATAATTGGCACATGTGAATAATCTTGTCCCGACTGATCTTTGACTTTATGTTACAAAAACTGACAGAATCACAAGTAAAGGATAAGCAATGATAATTACAGAGCAAAACATACATACTCCCTTCAGCCAGCTGGTTGTTTTTCTCAGTAAAAGGAAAGGAATACAAAAGATACTTGACCAATTTGAAACTGTTAAAAAAAAAAAAAAAAAAAAGATTAAATTAGTAGAAGCAAAAGCAGTTTGTGGTCATTGATCACCATGAAGAAAATTAGATACACATGGCTCAGGTAAATGGTCTGTACTTATATAGCGCCTTTCTATCTGATCAAGATACTCAAAGCTCTTTACACTACAATCTGTGTCCTCATTTATCCATTCATACAGCTCTATACTAGATCTCTACAAAGCTAATCGAACAAATCATTCTAAAGAGACTAATCAGAGCTTTATCACATTCATACACTGATGTATGAACACCCATTCATACACATCGGAAACAATGAGGGGTTCAGTGTCCTGCCTGTGGACACTTCGACATGTGACTGCTGGTGGATTTGAACCCCCAACTCCTTGCATTGGAAGACGACTGTTCGAGCCACTCAGCCACAGCCGCCCCCTAGGGTTGCAGTTTAATTGTAATTTTTGACGATGTAACACACAGAGGATTTTTTAAATGTTTTAATCCTTGGACACCAATTTTTTTAATATAGTTTTTAGATAATTTTGTAATTTTTAAGACATTGTGATTTTACTTTATACCCAATTAAAGGCATGTGATAGTGATGATTTGTTATAATCATTAGTATTCTCATTTTTGTACGCTGTATTGGGAGGTAGAGAAGCCTGGCACGAGACAAGGATTGCAAATTCTGTAAGCAACACATCTGTAATACGTTACTTAAACCTATTGCCATGCTCTGATTGCATCGTCCCTGACAAATAAATAAATAATTAAAAGTAATGCTAAAATTAGCAACAACAAATGCTCAAATTAGTGATACACATACAGCTGATAAAATTAGAAGAGCTACAGCCAAAGACTAAGAGGAATAGTAGCTAAAAGTAGCAAAAAATTAAGTAACATGATTAGAAAAGTAGAAAAGTTACAAATAGTAAAGGTTATAGACGGTATTCCCAATTGACCCGAACACAAATGCAGAAATTAACTGCAAAAGGAAGAAAGACTAAACAGGAAACCAAATTCTCATGCTGGGTAAGAGGTGGACTCGGGTCATCACCTGTGCGTTGCCATAAGGCACCAGCGTTACAGACATGATGTCTTTCAGAAGGAGCCAGGTGGGGAAGAGCATCTTGGTGAGGAAGAGTCTGCATCCAGGACACAGGCTCTCGTAGTAAAGTTCCACCTGGACTGGACCTGCTGCCTGACGGGACCTGAGGAAGTCAGACTCCAGGCACTGCTTCAAAACCTGCATCGAGTCACAGAGAATAAAGATCAGGTTCAGTCTGTCACTAAATTAGGTCTACATTTTATAAAATGTGCCACCGTTGAATTACATTTGTTTAATGAATGAGTTAGTTTAAAGTCTGTTCCTTGTCTGCATGTTCAGTTCAATGCAGTTTATTTATATAGTGCCTATTCACAACAGAGTTTGTCTCACGTTCTTTATCTAAGGAAGACAGCAGATTGTGTTGAGTCTTCACTTCGCTGCAGTCTCTCATCCTGAGCAAGCACAAAGGAGACAGTGGAAAAAAAAAACTCCCTTTTAACAGGAAGAAACCTCCAGCAGAACCAGGCTCAGGACGAGCGGCCATCTGCTTTGACCGGCTGGTTTGAGAGAACAGGAAGGAGGAACAAGTTAGAAAACATGTTGCATATCATCGTTTATGACGGAGCTCTTAATGGACTGAGATGACTTTTGTTGTGAGTTGGAGCTAAATAAATAAACTGAGATTAAATGTTGACTCAAGATATTAATTTATAGATGAGCATGCAGTGATTACCGTCATTTCTGGACTGTAAGCTGCTACTTTTTAACAGGCTTTGAACCCCGCGGCTTATACAAAGCTGCGGCTAATTTTTTGTTTCAACCAGCCGTGTTATGGACACTGTTCAGAAAAAAACATTTACCATACACATTTGTGTATGTTACCAGTACTTTTTTAAATTGTGGGAGTGGTGGCGCAGAGGTTAGAGAAGGTGGGTCTGTGATTGGAAGATCATCGGTTCAACTTCTGGTGCCGACAACATCAAAAAGTGGGTGGGATAGGTGAAGCACCCACACCTGCCTCTACCCTCATTTGCCCCACTCTGGGCCCTTGAGCAAGGCCCTCAACCACCACCATCTGCTCCCCAGGGTGCCCTAGATAGCAGCTCTCTGCTCCACAAAGAGGGCTGTGGTAGCTCAGTGGTCTGTGGTTGTATCAGGAAGGACATCCGGCGTAAAAACAATCACCAAGTGTTAGTGCGAATTAGTTCGCTGTGGCGGCCCCTGAAGAAGGGAGCAGCTGAAAGATGAAGGAAAAAAAAAAGGTACTTTTTTAATGAAAAGGGTTTTTTTTATTATTTCTGTGTAATTACCTCATTTTACAACATGAACACTCGTGGCTTAAACACAAGCGCAGTCTATATTTGTACAAAACTGTTAGTTTTTTTAATTTAGTGGGTGCGGCTTATATTCAAGCACACTCAATAGTCTGGAAATTAAGATATTTCCAGGAAGTTTCATTAAACCACACCCCCTGAATTTTATTAACAAACATTTTATTTACATACAGTATTTTAGGAACAAAAAGACACTGAATTCCAAAAATTAATGGCAGAGGAAAAAATGTGCATTTGAAAAAAAAAAACAAAAAAAACTACTGTACTCAAAATGGTTAGATTATTCTTCCTTTACAAAAACTACCCAAAAAATAGTTTCCGGTTGTTAATCTGGATTTTTTTTTTTTCTTTTTTCGGTATTATTAGCAGAGGAAGAAAATGCTGAAAAATATTTTCCTGCCGTTTTATAGCCGCAAGAATAAACGCCGCAAGAATACTCTCTCTCTCTCTCTCTCTCTCTCTCTCTCTCTCTCTCTCTCTCTCTCTCTCTCTCTCTCTCTCTCTCTCTCTCTCTCTCTCTCTCTCTCTCTCTCTCTCTCTCTCTCTCTCTCTCTCTCTCTCTCTCTCACACACACACACACACACACACACACACACACACACACACACAC